AGAATAATTTTTCATTGGCAGTTTGTTAACTAATGAATTAACTAATGTTAACTAATTAAGCCCTAATGTAAAGTGTGACCGAACAATAAAGAATCAAAACACTTTCAAACAATATCTAGGGCATGTTGTAGACTTGTAGTCCAGATTAAAATATAAAAAAAAGATTGAAAATAAATAGCCTATTAAGTCTAAATATGTAAGTATTTGGTGCTGTGATGAACATCATAGCGAATACACAAATCTGAATGGCTGTTTAAATCATTTAAACATGATTCAGAAACAGAAAGTAGTGCAGCTGCTTTGTTTACAGGGTTTCCGGGGTAACTGCTGCATTTAAATGAATTATTTTTATTATTATTATTTCTGCAGTTTAGTGCCATCTGCTGTCAGAGAGTGAAAGTGTGCTTTCCTCCAGAGCGTCTCTCACATGTTCCGCCGTGTGCTTCTCGTCCGTGCTTGTTTACATCAGAGTGCGCATGCGTCTTTCACTTGCAGCATACAGCTGTGTTGTGCATTTTGACCAGTTGATGAGAAAAGTATTCTTAAAATGCATTCAAAATTCTGAATAATTTGTAATATATAATTATTCACAGTATTTAGAAGTGCCCAAGATGACAATATCGTGCATATTCATTACCGTGATATATCGCATTACCGAATACCGGCACAAGTCTAGCCACATGTCACGTCACTTTCACTTTCAAAAGATAATATGAGTCTGTTTTGGACTTTCTGCACGAGAGCGCCCACCGGCTTGAAACACACACTTTTTGACTTTTTAAAAATAAAAACCTCCAGACACAAAAACACAATAGAGACTCCCATCTACCATCATTCAATGTGATTGAATACAGTGTTTATTCAAAGTACCTGCATCCTGGAGAACAATCTTCATCTGTGGATGTTTGTGTGTCATCCATGATGAAGCAGAATCTGATCTCCAGCACTGACTCTGAATAGAAATGAGAAACAAACTCAATAATTCAGCTGAACGGATCCTGAGAGCAACAGATGATGAGACGCGGCGTTCACTCAGATACACAATGTTAGTCGTGTGTTAACAAATGATCAAATACACCACAGACAACACCACACACCAATCAAACCACGCTCATCTGCTTGCTGTTCATCAAAGAAAATATGAAACATAAAAATAAACGTCCTTTAGAGGAGATATGAATGCGGAAGTCACTGTAAAGCACCTGAGCATCAGCACTCACCTTATTTACACAGATTCACAAAATCACCAGCTTTCTATGAAGCAGCTGCACGTTAATCATGACTTAGCTTTAATAAAGGTTCCTATGAAACACTTTGATATTCTGTATATAATCGATTCTGGCTGTTTAAATGGTGAAACATTAACTCTGAACATCTGCTTTAACTTTTTATTCGAGACGCGAAAAACAATGATGGCGCTGACACTCCTCACCTGTAGAGCTTAAGGGAGCGTCTTTAAACTCCACACACTGTGGGAAAAATTGCGATGTCAAATCATTCGTTCAAATAACATACACGTTTTAAAAAATACAAAATCATTTTTTAAACAAATCTAGCAATTGTACAAAAACAAACAAACAAACAAACAAAGAAGCAGAGTATAAATCAAGAGGCAACCTCCCCGTCTCTCTCTTGAAACCAAAACGAAAGTGACTGCAATTCATGGACTGGCTGCTAGAGACTGGCTCCAAAAGGGAGTCAGGCCCATAGACCTCCCATGTTAAAATGCCCAACTTTACAGCAGAAAAACATACAGTCTTGGCCAAAAGTTTTGGCAGTGACATACATTTTGTGTTTTGCCAAGTTTGCTGCTTAAGTGGTTGAGTTCATTCACATGGTTTCTAGATTATTGTGTAGAGTGATCAGAAGCATTTTAAATAATTGCTAAAAGCTTAATTGGCCAAAAATATGAACTTTTCACCAAAAACAAATTTCACTGTTTTTTGATCCTGACACAAAATGACCAGCTAACATTAACTGACTAATCATATCAGCAGCACATGTGAAAGTGTGAATGAGTACTAGTCAGGTAAAATCACTATCATACTAATTAGATTGTAAGAGTAGACTGATTGCTATAAAAGGAGGGGATAAGTGCTTCCAATCATTGTGTTCTTGTTAGCAATAGTTACCTCCAAAGAAACACGAACAGCCATCATCGCTTTGCATCAAAATGGCCTCATATGCAAGGAAATAGCTACAAAGAAGAATATCGCACCTGAAAGAACCATATACCCGATCATCAAGAACTTCAAGGAGAGAGGTTCGGCTGCAGTGAAGAAGTCTTCAGGACGTCCCAGAGTGTCCAGCAAGCTCCAGGACCATCTCGTCCTGAGGAGCCAGCTACAGAATCATGTATCCAGCAGTGCAGAGCTTGCTCAGGAATGGCAGCAGGTTGGTGTGAGAGCATCTGCACACACAGTGAGGCCAAGACTTTTGGACAACGGCCTGGTGTCAAGAAGGGCAGCAAAGAAGCCACTTCTCTCCAAGAAAAACCTCAAGGACAGACTGAAATTCTGCAGGAAGTACAAGGATTGGACAGCAGAAGACTGGTGCAAAGTTATTTCTCTGATGAAGCTCCCTTCCGACTGTTTGGGACATCTGGAGTTATTTTATGGAATTCACATATAAACTGTTTAAATTAAATGTTCTTTTTAACCCTGTTACATCTGCTTATAATTTTTTTCAGTATACCATAGAAACATGTGGAAAAATAATCTACAAATACTGAAGCAGCAAACGTTGCATTACTTTTGGCCATGACTGTAGAGTTGATAACATGAACTGAAGTACAGATGGCGCACTACTCACGTATCAACAAACAGCGCTAAAGGTGAATCTGTCCTAACACAACAGTGTTATAGCCACATCTTGTGGACAACACAATACACTGCCTTACATAATCATTAGCAGAATTCAGAAGATACATCTGAGCAGTGGCTGATCTGTCCAGAAATGACGCTGATTGACAGAACAAGTTTATATTTAGAATACACTGTAATAACTCCAAAATAGATGATGACAAGTCACACACCTGCATTGGGAGCTGAACTTCTTTGCGTGCCTATTTAGCATTTAGCTTCAGCACCTGAAGGATGTGCTCCTTACAGAAAACATTCAGACGGCGGGGCTGCTTTGAAACGGCAACATTAATTGGTTTAACCCTCTGGGGTCTGAGGGCATTTTGGGGCCCTGGAGAAGTTTTGACTTGCTGACATTTGTGTTTTTTTTCAGTATCTTCAATACATTTTAATGGCTAAAGTCTGATAACACTGTATTCAGCACAAACTGGACTACAATACTATGTGAGCAGCGTGAAAGTACATGTTTGTGTTTTTGAGAAAACAATGTTTATGCATGGTTTGTGAAAAACTTAATTTTTTAAGTCACTGAAATAAGGCCATAAAACACATACAGAATATTTGTTCACAAGACTTTTCAGAACTGGATGTGGTAGACTAGAGTTTTTGCTACAAAATGAAGTGAAAATGATCCTGTTCACTCCTTCACAGAAAACAATATATTGATTACAATTTTCTAAGACACTTTTTGTGTAGAAAGGTTATATGCGAGAGGGCGTCAACTATCATGCGTAATGCTGATGCTTCACACCTGAGAAGGCAAAGGCCTGCATAATGAGCCTTTCAGTCGGGAGTTACCAGAAAGACTGTGAGGACAAAATAAGTTTATATATTGTTTGTTTGTAGGTTATTTAGAATATATTTAACTATCACACAAAACTTGAGATACACTTGTGAGTGCAGTTAAACAGTTTATTAGGTTTATGTGGTCCCAAGAAAAAAAAGCTTACATGCTTCCAGTCAGTCAGTACACTGTGGTGCATATAGTGGTACAGAAGACACATTCATAGCTACAGTGGGTACGGAAAGTATTCAGACCCCCTTAAATTTTTCACTCTTTGTTATATTGCAGCCATTTGCTAAAATCATTTAAGTAAAATTTTTTTCCTCATTAATGTACACACAGCACCCCATATTGACAGAAAAACACAGAATTGTTGACATTTTTGCAGATTTATTAAAAAAAGAAAAACTGAAATATCACATGGTCCTAAGTATTCAGACCCTTTGCTCAGTATTTAGTAGAAGCACCCTTTTGATCTAATACAGCCATGAGTCTTTTTGGGAAAGATGCAACAAGTTTTTCACACCTAGATTTGGGGATCCTCTGCCATTCCTCCTTGCAGATCCTCTCCAGTTCTGTCAGGTTGGATGGTAAACGTTGGTGGACAGCCATTTTTAGGTCTCTCCAGAGATGCTCAATTGGGTTTAAGTCAGGGCTCTGGCTGGGCCATTCAAGAACAGTCACAGAGTTGTTGTGAAGCCACTCCTTCGTTATTTTAGCTGTGTGCGTAGGGTCATTGTCTTGTTGGAAGGTAAACCTTCAGCCCAGTCTGAGGTCCTGAGCACTCTGGAGAAAGTTTTCGTCCAGGATATCCCTGTACTTGGCCGCAATCATCTTTCCCTCGATTGCAACCAGTCATCCTGTCCCTGCAGCTGAAAAACACCCCCACAGCATGATGCTGCCACCACCATGCTTCACTGTTGGGACTGTATTGGACAGGTGATGAGCAGTGCCTGGTTTTCTCCACACATACCGCTTAGAATTAAGGCCAAAAAGTTCTATCTGGGTCTCATCAGACCAGAGAATCTTATTCAGGTGTTTTTTAGCAAACTCCATGCAGGCTTTCATGTGTCTTGCACTGAGGAGAGGCTTCCGTCGGGCCACTCTGCCATAAAGCCCCAACTGGTGGAGGGCTGCAGTGATGGCTGACTTTCTACAACTTTCTCCCATCTCCCGACTGCATCTCTGGAGCTCAGCCACAGTGATCTTTGGGTTCTTCTTTACCTCTCTCACCAAGGCTCTTCTCCCCCGATAGCTCAGTTTGGCCAGACGGCCAGCTCTAGGAAGGGTTCTGGTCATCCCAAACGTCTTCCATTTAAGGAATGGAGGCCACTGTGCTCTTGGGAACCTTAAGTGCAGCAGAATTTTGCTTTGCAAAGCACACAGGTCCGGCGACCAGTAGTGGCATCTGAGGCCTGCTCAGCTCCTGGAAAAGGCACATGGTCAACACTGGTCCGTTTTGGTGGTATTTTCTGTGACACACCACAGAGCTCTGCAATTAGTTCTTCCATAAACTCCTTATGGCTCATGGTGCCATAAAGCTCTTTGTGTACAATAAAAGCATTGGTGGCAGCAATGTCCAAGAAGTATAGAAATAGCTTTCTGTACCACTTCATTGTTTTGTGCTGTATACTGTAGTACTGTAACAGCTGATCAGACAGGTCAATGCCCCCCATGTGCTGGTTGTAGGCAGTCACAGGTGCAGGACATGTAATACTCTTTGTCCTCCATCCATTTTGTGTTTTCACCCTCCTCTGCACAGTGTCTCCTGTAAAAGCAGCATGGATGGTGGAACAGAGAGACACCTCTCGTGTGTCCATCCATTTCACAAACACAAGATGTTTGTCTCTAATCCACCTGATGGATACAATACAACTAGCAACCTAATTTGCATGCGTTGTGAATACTGCTAGGCACCTCTCTCCAAGTCTCTACCAGCTGATGTGCTGCTTGGCTGACTAACTGTTTCAATACTTACTACTTATTGTGTGGTTAAGAGGAAAAGCATGTCTTTTCATCATTTTATGATGTTGTCAAAGTCATCATATTTCTCCTGCTACTTCTAACCTCTCTTCCTTTTCAGTGGTCTCCAGCTCCCGTAGCACACATTAGTGTGAGGCTGCCTCTGCAAGCTGCACAGGCTCTCCAGCATTTTCACCTGAATATCACAAGCCCCTGTGGCCTACAGCTACAGCAGCTGAAACAAGTGCAAAGCTGCTTACGTTTGCAACACATGCCGTCATATCTCGGGCTTTTCCTCCCATTCCTAATGACCCCTTTTTTCTTTACAGTGGTCTCCAGCTCCCATAGCAGGCACTAACCCGGAAGCCGATTTAAACCTCCGCAAAAGGTTATGGCCCCTCCTTATCTTCCTTCTAACCCTTCTCTCCATTCTAAACCTCAGTACACTTCACAGCAGTCCCACTACCTACCCCACCGAATGCTGCAGCACAGGAACCACCCTATCTGCCTAATACCATCAAGTCTCAGATTCTCACAGAAATTCAGAGCGCTGGCTCCGGAGGCAGACCCATGGCCAACCCCAGCACCTCACTATTCACAACTCGTATTCCCATAACACCCATAACGCATCCCTTAAAACCTCCTCAACGCGTCACTGGGTTCGATCCTCCAAG